AAAAAAAAAAAAAAAAAAAAAAAGAAAAGAAAAGGAGAAAATAATTGATATCTTACCAAGTTGTATTGTTTTCTTTTCATGAAAAAATGTTTTCCTATTTTTTATAGAGTTCCTTTGTTTAAAATAAAAGCTATTGATATGTTACTAGCATTAGAATGATTGTCCACAGGCCTGATCCCAGTGCAGTTTGGAAAGATGATACCAGGATCCAGGAGGGATGAAAATTAGAAGTATGTGGAAGGAGATTGGGTTTTTTAAAAGAGAGAACTTAGAGACAGAACCCAAACTTCAGGAAAGGAAGCATTTAGCCTGGCCTGTGGAAGGGAGAGAAGAAAGTCATTTGGAATTCCCTTGCTTACTTACACATCCTAGGGTAGGATGTTTTTAGTTTGTGGTATTTCTACTTTTGGGCTTCCTAAAATTGCCATTTGTTTCTCCCAGGCTTCTCTTCCTTCTCATTTATTATTAGCTTTTCATCCTTTTGAGGCCCTGATACCTTTCCAAAATTGCACCAGGATGAGGTCTGAAAACTTGGACCAATCACTTGTTTACATGAAATAGTTTTTAGGAGTTTAAATTTTTTCCCTATATTCCCACAAAACATTTTGGGGGAAAAAGTGGCAAAAGAGATTAGTATACTTATTTGACTTTTTGGAATTCCATTGCTTCCTAAATATATAATTCCCAAGAATAATTAAGTATATTTCAGTCTACTTAGAAACAACTAGTCAGTCCTGAAACATCCAGATAGTTTATCAAGATTCATGAAACCTATAGGATATAAAGAATTGGGGAACTAATTTCTTATTGGACTTGAAAAAACAACTTAAAAATAGGTAGAATATTTACTATTTGTGGACTGCTATTAGTGGCTTCCTTTAAAATGATTAATTACTGTATGAATAATAACAATGTAAAGGAAATGGGCTTTTCTTTAAATCCTTTTAGAATGTGAGATATGCTTTGCTTATCTGATTTTCTTTAATTTATGTACCAGCCACACCCTCAAATTAACATTTTTTTTGGGCGGGGGTGTTCCTAAGGGGATCAGCCCTTAACCTGGTGCTATCAAACAAATTAACATTTCTATAGAAATAAGTTATATCATGGGCCGGCCTGTGGCTCACTCGGGAGAGTGCAGTGGTGCTGATAACACCAAGGCCACGGGTTCGGATCCCATATAGGGATGGCCAGTTTGCTCACTGGGTGAGCGTGGTGCTGACAACACCAAATCAAGGGTTAAGATCCCCTTACCGGTCATCTTTTAAAAAAAAAAAAAAAGAAAGAAATAAGTTATATCGTATTGCTTTCTTGTAGACTAACCAAGTGCATTCTTTTGTTCAAAGATGGGTGGAACAAGACCCTAAGGAAATTCTGCAGTCTGTCTATGAGTGCATAGAGAAAACGTGTGAGAAACTTGGACAGCTCAATATCGATATTTCCAACATAAAAGGTATTTTTAATAGAATATTTTGCTCACATAGTATGACTCTCAATCAAATTCATTAATTCATTCTTTCAGCTCACAATTGAGGGCCTATGCAGTGCCAGGCATTTCTGTGAGAACTTGAAGATATAACAATGAACAGGAAGATTAAGTCCCTGTTCTCATGGAGCTTTTATTTTGGAGGCAGTGAGACAAACAATAAGAGCACACAAACATAAGCTAGTTTCAGATATTAGTAAGTTCCATGCAAAAAATAAAAACCAGGTAATATGGTGGGGTGTGCCTAAAGGGGCTTACTTTCAATTGGGTGGCAAGGAAAAGCCTCTCTGGGGAGGTGACACTGAATTTGGATGTTATTCTTAGCATCACAGGGAGCCATGAGGTTTTAAGCAAGGCGGCAGGGGATGACTCTCAGTTTAAAGACAACTTCCTGGCTTCTGTGTGGAGTGTGGACACAGGGAGACCAGTGTGGCAGCTGTTGTGGAAGTCCTGAGAGAGGATGGTGGCTTGACCAGCAGTGGTAGCAGTGCTGGAGGTGGGGAGAATGGGCCATGCTGATGGCTTAGCTGTCAGGGTAGTGCGAGAGTAGTGGGGTGAAAGAAAGAGATGGTTCAAAGATAATGCTTGGGTTTTTGCTGCAGCTGCTGGATAGATGGGGATGCCTTTTACTAAGGAGAGAAAGAACTAGAGGAAGGAATGGGTTGAGAGAGGGATGTTTGGAATCCAAACATATCACTTGTAAAATCTCCCTGTAATAATTGCTTTGAGAGTATTAGATTATTACAGATCTCTCTGTGATTTCCTAATAGTTTTTAATAGAATATGTATCCACGTTTGGCTTTTCATCATTCATACAGGGAGGAAAAAAAATAACCCAAGTCACCCAAGATTGATATAATAGCACGCATATAGGGTAGAAGCATAATGTGGTAATTGGATCTCTTTATAACTTAAATGTTTCAAGTTCTCCATTCAAGGGCTGTTTTTTTCTTCCTTATGTAGTCTGACTATAGATGGAGAGAACCATCATTTGGTGAGGGTGCCTTCTTTTGTTTTGTTTTTGATTTTTGGTGGCTGGCTGGTACAGAATCGAACCTGGACCTTGGTGTCATCAACACCATGCTCTAACCAGGTGAGCTAACCAGCCCTGTGGTGGTGCCTTGGTTCACATCATCTTGACTCTGAGACTTACCAGTGCTCCTGAGACTTTCCCCTATTAGTATAAATAAAAACCCACTTAAAGAAAAAAAGACTACACGTAATAGAAACCATTCATTCAGCAAACCCACAGAGTACCAAAGACATAAGTAATCCAGGCAGCTTAAATCCATGTTCAGAATGTAGAGTCCAGTGTGGTTGACCGTGGCTTCCCCATTGTTCTACCTACCGTGCAAGTAAGGTAGTCTGTGATGCATTGGCCTTTTGGACCCACTCGGGTGCCATTCCTTTCTCTCTTGTTTTTATGGTATATGAAGATGACACAAAACTGCTGCCCAAGTGACTTGTCTTCTACTTGTACCAACTGGTCAGTAAGAGTTGAACACATCGCTCTCTTCTCTACACTTCTCTGAGTCTGGCCAGTGTGAAATCCATTCCTGAGCCAAAGTGACCCAACCTTTCCTTCTCTACAACTTCTAACCTGTGGCCGAGGAGCAGAATGGCCTACAAGCTTCGTACCAGGCCAGTTGTGCTAATTTGTTTTTCCCAGATAGTTTGTTGAATTGGCATTGCCAAGGGCCAAGCTTTTGCCTGCCTGCCTTTATAGAACTCTAGATCACAAACTGTTAATGCTGTAAAGGATCTTCAGTCACCTACTCTAGCACCTTTTAGCTGCAAATGAGGGAAATGGACTTATTGCAGGTTAAGGTCATGTAGCTATTTAGTGGCTATGAAAGCAGAGCTCCCCTGACTCCTAGACCAGTGCTCCTTTTCCTGAACCACACTGATGATAATCTCACAAACCACTTCAGTTTTTATTTCCTGTGTGGCAAGTAAATTAGTTTTGCCAGCTGAAGAGCAATGTCATTTATAGTCTTACCTGATAATCATTAACAAAGTTTATTATATCTGGTTGTATTTCTTTCCCGAATTCCTGTCTTGTTGGTTTTAGTTGTCCTCGAAAGTTTGTTGATTTCAGGTCACTATAAACAATGCCTCCAAAGTTAAAATTCCCTCTCCTTCTGAATAGCCCACATCGTAGCCTGAGGCAAGTAAATAGGCAGCTTCTTTCCTTCTTGACTTAAAGAGGCAGGCAGCTCTGTCTGTCACTGGTCTTAAGGAATTACAAAGTATAAAGAATTACCAGATGCTCTCATTTATCATCATCTTTCATGTGACAGAAGCAAAATATGACATAAACTGTTTCAAAGCTGAGAGCATAAAATTTTCAGGGATTAGACCAAAGCAGTTATTTTACTGTTAGGGGAAAGGAAAACCTGACATTCATTCCTCCACTGCCTTGCTGTACCCAACATAGTCACACACAGCACATTTCTATCACCTCTTAGACTCATACTCTCAGGGGCCTTGCAGGGGTCTCAGAAAGGCACCTCATTCTTCCAGCTAAGTTTCCAGCAGTAACCAGTCTTCTCTTTTGAGATTGTTATAACTCGCCTCAAGTACACATCTTCCAGACACTGTTTTCTTAAAAAACTTTATGCCTTCTTCCCACATGGCACTTACAGTGTAGCCAGAGAGCCTTCCTGTGGAGCTCTTACTATTTTTCTCTATGTGTTTTTAGGTTTTTGTTTTTGTTTTTAAATGTGTTTCTATTATAAATTACGATTTTATTTTTTATTTATTTATTTATTTTTTTTTCCATAATCCTATATAAAGATGACCGGTAAGGGGATCTCAACCCTTGGCTTGGTGTTGTCAGCACCACGCTCAGCCAGTGAGCAAACCGGCCATCCCTATATGGGATCCGAACCCATGGCCTTGGTGTTATCAGCACTGCACTCTACCGAGTGAGCCACGGGCCGGATGATTTTATTTTTTAAAAAGGATGCATGTCATCTATAATTCTACCAAGACAACAATTGTTAATGTCCTGGGGTATTTCAAAAGACTTTTTCTAAGTATATTTTCTTAACTATGATTATAACTTTTCACAGACAATTTTAAGCAAAATTTAACCAGAGATTTCTAATGTAGCTTTTAAGTAGTTTAATTTTACTACTGACACTCAGTGTAGAGAAAAATACCTCCTAACAAAGAATATGGAGGTGAGGTATGAACCTGCTAGATGCAAAAGCAGTGTGTTAGGTTTTACATATGCTAATGGTTGTGATATCTGTAACGAAAAGACTGAGGTCAAGAAATAGATGTTTTATGGATGTACTTTTCATGTGCTTCTAAGTAGTACAGATGAACTGGGGTGGAGAATTACAAAACCTGAATGTATTATTCTGAGAAAGAATTAAAATTAGGAACTGTTAAGAATGGCACATGTGCTAGGATTAGCAGTCAGAAAAGTTTTGTTTAAAAAACAGAGGATTTTAGAGTAAAAATGACAAAAAGTTTTATCAGTGAAAAAGTTCAGTGATATTGCATAAGACCTATGTGCCCTGGGGAGAAAGGGGTAATCGAGATGTGTTTGTGGTTGGAAGAGAATCCTGAGAAGCAGTGTCACTGGACTTTGATTGTCTGCAAGAAAAGCAATTTTCCTTGGCAAGAAGGAATCAACTTAAGATAGAGCAGAAAGAGGGAGTGGTCAGGGAGGAATGCATGACCTAAGAATCAGATGGAAATAGTTCTAGATTAGATTGTTTTTTTAATTTTCTGGGGGTGGCTGGCCAGTGCAAGGATCCAAGTTAGATTCTGAATACACGTTGTGGTGAGCCAGTAAAGAAAGGAAGCATGAGGGACATGAATAGCGACTCAAGGATGGTGGCTCAGGGAGCAGCTAGCTTGTTCATGGGAAAATTAATGGTAGTGAGGAAGACTAGGAGATTTGAGTTGACCATGAATTCATTGGGATCCCACAATGTAAAGTTGTCACTCAAAAATGTATCAGTTCACAGAAATCCTCTTTGGCAACCTGCTGCTGAGGTCCCACTGTTATATCCACTGAGCTGCTGGGGAATTCCTTTATGTGTCCTGCTTGACTCAGTCCCATTCTCTGTGACTTTTATTCTACTCTCTCCCCAATAATAACTGTGACAATGGCAGCTGCAGTAGGTAACATTTATTGGATGCTCACTGTGTGCCAGGCATCTGCTTTAATATACATTGACTCAGGGATTCCTCACTCTAACCCTGTAAAGTGGGAACTATTATTCTCTTCCTTTTATAGGAGACAAAACTGAGACCCAGGGTCAAATGCTGCTAGGAAGCAGAGGAATTGGAATTTGAGCCTCAGTTGTCTGACTTCAGAGCCTGAGTTCTATTGAATAGTGCCCCAAACTCTCCATCCTAGTTTTTTGCTTGGCTCTGTTTCTGCAGACAACCTTATCCACTACTTCACAGAGAAAGTTGAGGCTCTGGGGCCTTCATTCTTCTACTTCTTCTTCCTGTGCTTAATATCTGGATCTCCTGCCAACTTTCCTTCATCACATGGGAAGCAATAGCCTTTTGCCCTACTTGGGCCTCCTCTCCCTCCACTTGTACTATTAATCCCATTCCCTCTTGTGCCTACAGTGATTATAACCATGTTCCATTGATTCTCAGCCTCCCCTCCACATTCTCCTTTCTCTTCTTTATTTATCCCTACAAATATTTTTTTGTCTTCTATTTTTAAAAATATACAATCCAGAATCTCTTCCCTTTACCCTATACTTCTATGTTTCTTTGGAGTAGAATCTCAATCATCTTTTCCCCTCTAGAAAAAATATTAGTCAATCTGCATTGGATACATAGCATTAGAGCAAGGGAGATGATGGTCCACCTCAGCTGTGTGCTGATTAGAACATTCCTAGAGTATTGTGTTTAATTCTGGTTATACAATGTGAATGATATGGACAGATAGTTGCATGTTTCTAGGAGTGGTGGTGAAGGGACTTTACACCATGCCATATGGAAGGCAGGGGCAGTTGAAAAAAATTGGATTGTTTAGCCTAGCCAGTGGAAGAGAAGACTTGAGGGACAAAATAGCTGCTTCAAGTTTTTGAAAGACTGGCATATGGAAGGAGGATTAACCTTATTTTATATATATCCAAAGAATATGGCTAAGATTGTAGGTAGCAACTAGAAGGAAAAGGACTTTTGTTTTTAGTACCAAAGATTGTTCAGCCTTGAGAGATGTACTGAATATCTTGTCAAAAATGCTGTCCGGGGCCGGCCCGTGGCTCACTCGGTAGAGTGCGGTGCTGATAACACCAAGGCCGTGGGTTCGGATCCTATATAGGGATGGCCGGTTTGCTCACTGGCTGAGCGTGGTGCTGACAACATCAAGCCAAGGGTTGAGATCCCCTTCCCCCGGTCATCTTTTAAAAAAAAAAAAAAAAAAAAATGCTGTCCGGATGGTCACATGACAGGTGATTTCAGAAGAGATTTGAGGATAAGAAGTGTTGTTGATTGCATGGCCTTTAAAGTCTGTCCTAATCTTAAATTCTGGAAGAGCTGATCTTTTAGCTCGGTGTATTCTACCCAGGAGACACATTAGAATCCCCTAGGGGCTTTTAGGAACCAGTACCAATGCTCAGATCCTACCCCAGGTCAGTTAAATGACCTGGGCTTGGACCTTGGGATGTTTTAAAAGCTTCCCAGTTGATTCTAAAGTACAGCCGAATCTGAGAACCTCTGATTTAGCTGAATCAAGCTGAACTGAATAAGATGTATGTAGTAGTATTTTACTTAAAGCAACTTATTGTAAATATAGCATTTGAGTTGTATATAGGTCAGGATAATGTAAATGCCATTACATATTGTATTTATGCCTAATTCAAACTCTTATGTGTTGTAATATATTATTAAAATGTAGGAATAAGACTGAATTTTTAACCACCTGTAATATAAGTTTGCTGAGCATGAGGGATTTTGTCTGTGGCTATTTTCTTAAAATGCAGGCACGCATACAGACACACACGCATATAGGAAGGGAAATTTCTTGTAGCAATAGAATTGGTAAATAAATGGATGAGGTGATTGTTGGTCTGCTCGGAATAATCAGTTGGGTATTATTATAAATTTGGAAAGTTATTGAATTCCTTAAGGTAACCTGGGAGCATTTCATTGGGATATTGATCTGGGTCCATGTCATTGTGTGCTGGTAGTAAAGCAGGGAGGAGTATGGAAATAAAAAGAAATGCTTGACATTGGGTGTTCACTTTTCCTGGGACCACTCAAAGAAAATCAACTAAATACTGCTACAGATGTTACAAATGTTTTTCTACATTGTTATGGTTAATTGTGCCTATAAAAGAATTTGAGAGCTATCCTCCTGAAGTAGTTTTCTGCTTGTTTAATTTTCTACTCCCCCTCTGTTTAACTTTCTCTTTAAAGCTATTGGTGTGAGCAACCAGAGGGAAACCACTGTAGTCTGGGACAAGTTAACTGGAGAGCCTCTCTACAATGCTGTGGGTAAGCTGTCATGCATGAATGTCAAATGCAAGCTTTCTCCACTTGGACATGTGGTCATACTAAAATATCTTGCTGAAAAGCATGCGGTCATGTTTCCTATAATCTGATGGGATGGGCACAAGAGTCCTCTAAGAAATTAACTGTTGTGTATTTACCATTTTCACATCATATTTCTCCACATACTGAATTAACTCTCCTATGCTCTTTCCTTTTGTTAACTATTCATATTATACAAATGAGGGAATGTTGCCAGAACTGTTTTATAATCCCTGCTGTTTCTGACATCTAAAAGAGATCTCACCTCTTTCTACTCTCAGAAACCAAAATTACAAATGTTCACAGTCATCTGTTTATAAAATACTGTGTACTTGTTCTTTTTATCTAGGTATTTGAATTACTCTTCTGAGGTGATAAGAATAAAATATCAGAATTTTAGCTGCTTCTACAAATTTTGCTATTTCAGCAGGGGTTAAAAAACTCAAAATCTCAAATGTACCACTTTTAGGTATCATATTTTATTAGATTAAAGTGACCATGGGTATATTTTAGCATCATTCTTGGCACATGACAGTTGTTGAGTACTGAATGACATTGCCACTTCCTAGAAGGAAAATTGTGTTCTAAATCTAAAATTACTAAAAAAAGGCTTCATCCTGTCAGAAATAGCAAAGCACAATTTTTTCTCAATAAAATGCTTGGTTGTGAAGTGGGAAATGGAGCTAGAAATTGTCAGAGATGGGATGATTTATAGAGTAAGCTCTTTTTATTTTACTTGACAGTTACTTTAGTATTGATTGTAAGAAAGTGATATTAAAGCAGAAAATATATGAAAAAGGTGGGTTATAAAAGTGGCATAAACTCTTTGGGAATAATCTTTGTAAAAAATATGATATTTGATGTTACTGTATTATGAGAAAGCATTTAGTATGTGTTTTGTATTTGTTCTCATTCTCATGGGCAGTTCATTTTGAATATAAGTAAGGCAGACTATTATAATTTTAATCACTAGTTCTTAGGAGGGTATTCTTTGATAGATCAACATTAGCTGACCTCTTAAACCAGTGAGGATTTTACTTTTTTTCCCCCACTAGTGAAAGTAAAGGCTTACTCAGGGGAACCAGAAAGTTCCTGTTAAATTTTAAACTTTGAATTTTTAAGAATGGAACTTTAGACTTTGAATTTTCATTTTAAAATAATGCAACTAGGTTAGTTGAAGTTATGCTTACAGTGGAGGATTTAAGTAAATATTTTACCAGAAAATATTTCTGTGATGTGCTTATTTATTTATATTCTTCTGCCTGTGTCCCTCTGCACCTCCATCCTTCATTCTGTGTGCTTTGGAGTGTAAATTCAAGTGTACCTATAGGATATGAAAAACTTTTTTTCTATACTGAGCCACATACATGTTTTGAGAACCTCTTATGTGTCTGATGTTATCCAAAGTGTTATAGAGTATACATATTATATTGGCTGATTTTGTAAGCACTTTATAATCTAGTTTTGGAAAGAGACTAACACAATTAGGGAATAGTTGGTAAATTGTATGCTGCTAAGTTGAATAGGAATTAGAGCAAGAACACATCAATATGGATTTTGAATTTTTGACATACCTTTCATAGTAGAGGTTGAACTTCATTTGGGCCTTGAAGCATGTGTTAGATTGCTTTAGGAAAAGGGAGAATTGATAAAAAGTGTGAACAAGCTATGAAGAAAAAATGTGTATATGTATTTTACCAAAGAGTGAAGAGATTGATTGGATTTGAGCTTACATTGACTTATTATGTTTAGTAGAACTAGCAGTGATAATAATCCTCAATAAATGCTAACTGCTATTACTGTGGGATTGTGCTAAATACTTTACCTATATTTTTTAATCTCAGTGACCCTGTGAAGCAGGTTTTACTAGCCTTATTTTATAAATGAGTTATGGAAAAGTTTTATAACTTGTCAAATGTTAATAGCTATAGGTTGAGGTAAAGCCACAGTCTGAACATAAACACTCTCCAACCCCAAAGCCTGTGTTCAAATTTGGATAGGGGTTGGTGAGGGTATAGAGAGCACTGAAAGCCATGAGAGTGTAGGTAGTATACATGTAGTGTAGACTTTATACACTGGGCAGCCTGGGACAAAATGGGTCATTAAGGATAGTTTAGCATCCCACAATGGTCTGCTGAGAACAGCCAGAAAAGCTGGACTAAAAAGAAAAGAAACTCTGGAGGACTGGAAGGCTACCAAGGCAGTGAGGAATTGTGGGATCAAGATCCAGGAGAGAAGAAAAGCCCAGAGAGGTAAGCCTGGCATTTGCTGTTGCTTATCCCTTAGAGATATCTGTAGGTTCTAAAAGGAGGTTTGTTTTTTTGGCAGCTGGCTGATACGGGGATCTGAACCCATGACCTTGGTGTTACAAGGCTGTGTTCTAATCAACTGATCCAACTGGCCAGCCCTTGAAAGGAGTATCTGAGAGGCTAAGCAAAACATCTACAGGTTCTTGAAGATAAGGAGGCAGGAGCTGCCAAGAGTAGGGATGACTATTGGCAAAATCCCAGACTTTAGATTGTGAAGGGCCAAATCCTAGAAGTAAGGTAAACTGGAAATTGGTATATATCTTCATAGGAATTGAAGTCCAGATTCAAATAATCTTGAACCCTGATTGGATTAAGATGACCTGAGATAGCTAATGCTACTAGCCTAACTTATTTTCAGAAACAAAAGTAAACCCTTCTAGAGGAAGACAAATATCATTTAGAGCCTCAAATTATCTCTAGAATTTTTCATATGAAATATCTAGTTTTCTATCAAAAATAACCATTCTTACAAAACAAAATATGACTGAAAACCAACAGAAACAAGTGATATAAGAAAAAGACTCAGGAAATCCAGATATTAGAGTTATTAGACTTTAAAATAACCATGGTTGACACATTCAAGGAATTAATTGACAATCTTAGCAAACAATTGGAAATTAATTTAAAAATAGAAATTCTAGAACAGTATTAAGAACTCAATTGATGGGTTTTACATCAGAGTAGACATAGGTGAAGACAAATTAGTAAACCAGAATTGAGATCAGAAGTAAATATCCACACTGAAGCGCAGAGAAACAAGAGTTTAGAAAATAGGGAAAAGTATCTAAGAGAAATATGGTGTAAGGTGAGAAGTCTAACGTTTGTAATTGGAGTTCCAGAAGGAAAGGTAAGAGAATGGGGCAGAAATAATATATGACAGATAATGGTGGAAAGTTTTTCAAAACTGATTAAAGGTATCAGGCTGCAATTTCAAGAAGCACTGTGATCCCCAGGCAAGATACACAGGAAACAATGCATAAACATTTGCTGCTATCTGAAGGTAGAAAAACTTTCAGTAGCCAGAGGAACACTTCAAGAGAGCAACACTAAGCACTAAGACTTTCAGCTGATTTCTCAATGGAAACAAAGCAGGTCAGAATGTAATGGAATTAAATCTTTAAAGTACCAAAAGAAAATAACTTTCACCTAGAGTTTTATATCCAGTGAAAATATTCTTAAGAAATGAAGGTGAAGGTGAAATAAATAGAAAGGCAAATACAAACAGAGAGAAATCATTACAAGTAAACCCTCATTGTGTTAGTTCATTTGAGTGGCTATAACAAAATACCTTAGACTGGGTAATTTATAAACAAGAGGAATGTATTGTTTACAGTGTTGGAGGCTGGGAAGTCCAAGATGAAGGTGCAAGCAGATTTGGTGTCTGGCAAGAGCCTGTTCCTCATAAACAGCGCCTTCTATGTGTCCTGTGATGGAAGGAGCAAGGGAGCTCCCTCGAGCTTCTTTTTTAAGGACACTAATCCCATTCGTGAGGGTGGCACCCTCATGACGTAATCACTTCCCGGAGACTCCACCTCTTAGTACTATCACACTGGGTATTAGGTCCCAACATGAATTTTGGGAGGACCTCAACATTCAGACCATAGCAGTCACTAAAGGAAAAACTTAGTGTTTTTTGGGCAGAAGGAAAATGTTCTTAGATGGAAATTTGGCAATGCAAGAAGGAATGCAGAGCCTTAAAAAGGGTAAAAATGTAGGTCAATCTAAATGAATTTTGACTGGATAAAACAATAATGGGGACTAATCAGTTACTCAGATGGTTAGAGCATGGTGTTATTACACCAAGGCCAATGGTTCAGATCCCCAAACAGGTTAGCTGCCAAAAAATAAAAATAAATATATATTAAGACTTAAAATATATGGTTACAAGGGCCAGCCCGTGGCTCACTTGGGAGAGTGTGGTGCTGATAACACCAAGGCCACGGGTTTGGATCCCTATGTAGGGATGGCCGGTTAGCTCACTTGGGAGAGCGTGGTGCTGACAACACCAAGTCAAGGGTTAAGATCCATCCCCTTACCGGTCATCTTTTTTTATTTAAAGAAAAAAAAGACGAAGAAAAAAATATATATATGGTTACAGTAGTACATGAAAGGAACTTGGGGTAAATGAGGTTAAAGTGTTTTGAGATCCTTGCATTACCATGGATGTGTGTTGTAAGCAATACAAGAAGAGTAAAATAATATATAATTAACAAGCTTATAAAGGGGGGGAAATGGAATGATTTTTAAAAAGAAGGCAAGAAAGGAAAGAAAAAGGAAGATGAAACAGAAAGTAAGGACAAATACAAAGCATTTAAATCTAAATATATAAGTGGCTATATTAAAAAGGATGAGATTATTCTCTGTAGTAAAATCTAGCAAAGGAGTCAATTGAAACTGCTAGTGAGTTGCCAAGGTTAGTGCAATGAGAGAGAAAAGGCAAATTGGCAAGACTTCTCAGCAGAAGGATACAGGCTGTATGTTTGTACATTGCACAGGGCATAAAGATAAGGGAAAAATAAAAAAGGACCGCAAGGTGTTCAGCATGAGAGAACAGAAGGAAATTAAGTAATATTCAAGGGGTGCCAACCTGGGAGAAAAAATGACTTTCTGTTTTGGATGAAGTGGGTATTGGACTTGTGATCGAAGCTAATTTCT